TTTTTGTTAGAATAAATCCATAATGTGATTCTCAGTGACACACTGCCTACGGGGCCCCTGCAGGCCTCATTGAAGAATAGGCCATCTTTCAGCATCATTGCCATATCTCATGAGAAGGGGAGGGAAACTGAAATCCTAACCCTTCTTCTTTCTCATGCTATGACCCAGCAGGGAGGAAAGGGGGAAAGTAGAAAATCCTCAGGCTTTAAGTAGAAAACAGTTCATAACTGGCACTATCTTTGCAATACTCTTTGTCCTTTACTTATAAATTCCTATAATTCAGCCATTTTTATAGTTTTTAACTGAAGTATGTCATTAATATCCCATGTCAGTAACTGATACTTGGATTCTCTTTATAAACAGCTGTGCTTATCTACTGAAAATCCATAGAGCTTAATACAACTGTAATTATGAATATCATACATTTCTACAAAACAGTATCTGACTTTGTCAGTGTTGCTTTCTTTTTTTTTTTTTTTAAGATTTTATTTATTTATTCATGAGAGACACACAGAGAGAGAGAGGCAAAGACACAGGCAGAGGGAGAAGCAGGCTCCATGCAGGGAGCCTGACGTGGGACTCAATCCCGGAACTCCAGGATCACAACCTGGGCCAAAGGCAGGCACCAAACCACTGAGCCACCCAGGGATCCCTCAGTGCTGCTTTCTGATCGCCTTAAACAATGTGGTGAGCAGTTGTAAAGAATTCTGTAATAAAAACTGAGACTGCTTTCTATTCACTGTTCAATCAGTAAAAAACTTGCCAGAAAAACCTGTCTTTTTTGCCCCTTTGAAGCCATAAAGAGACATCAGAATGTGGTCACACAATGTTCTATAGATAAACTTAAGAGCTAATGATAGTTCGACTCAAAATCCGAATACCTAGAAGCCACAGTGCTGCTTAAAACTTCACCCAGCCTGCCGTGAAAATAGCTTCTGTTCCCTGTCTCCTCATCTGTGAACTGGATAGGACTGCTCAAATTAGAGGCCAACAGGTAATGTGATAGAGGATATGATAGAACCATGCTGTAATATGTAAACCAAAGAGGAAACTCCACAGTTTTCAAAAGTGAAGAATTAAAGAATGCTGTGTGTTCTCTAGGCCATTGGTTCTATTATAGTGCACACAGGGGGGTGATAGAATTTTATGATCTGTATGACAAAACTGAGGTGGATACACTAGCTAATTTTGTACTTAAATAAGATGCCACCATACCTTTTCATTTGCTTTTCTGTCCTCAACCTGACGGCTTCTTTATGTAACTGATACCTTTCGTCCTTACAATAAGCTTTGAAACCATCGAGCATTTCTTAAGAACCATGAAATACTTAATGGTTTAAATGATACCACATAAGGGGCTCAGTCTCTGGGTAAATTCCTTACTGGTTATATACCTGATTCTTCTGAGAATAGAAGCATCAACATGATTGAAACCACTAATTTCATAGTCTCATTGATTTTAGAAGAAGTCTGAAGTACCCTGTAGTCCATCCCATTCGTTTAAAAAGAGGAAGTAGAGACCCAGGAAGTTAGTTAAAATCTTAAAGTAGGAGGTTAACTAATAACAGAAACAATTTTTATTAATTATAGTCCTTTTTTCTTCTTCTCTCTGCTTCATAGCACTATTTCCCAAGTTATAGTTCTTAGCTATTTTATTTTAGATTCTTGAGTCATGAGAGCCACCTAGGGGTTATTATACTTGAACTGGAGTGGGTTAAGTAATCAGCAAATTAGCAAGCCTAAAAGTTTTGTGCAGAGAATATTTAATTGTATATAGAAAAAAACTCATGCCTGAACTCAGTTTACAGTGGGGAGGAAGAAGGGATGGACAAATCCTAGTTCATAGTGATTGACCACAGGTTATTAGCCTACTGAACTGGAACTCAGGTGAATATTACTTTTTGGGGATTCCACCTTAAGGAAAGATTACGTTTGCTCTCTCATTGCAAAGCAATCTTGGATTTTTTTTTTTTTTTTTTTTTTTTTTTTTTTATGATAGTCACAGAGAGAGAGAGAGAGGCAGAGACACAGGCAGAGGGAGAAGCAGGCTCCATGCACCGGGAGCCCGATGTGAGATTCGATCCCGGGTCTCCAGGATCGCGCCCTGGGCCAAAGGCAGGCGCCAAACCGCTGCGCCACCCAGGGATCCCCAATCTTGGATTTTTTTTTTATTTTGTTGTAATTGAAGAATAATTGACATTCAGTATGGTATTAGTTTTACTGATTTGATATTTACATATATTATGAAATGACCACCACAGTAAGTCTAGGTTCTATCTGTCACTATCCAGAGTTGTTACAATATTGTCAACTATATTTCCTGTGCTGTACGCTACTTCCCGATGACTTATCTATTTTATAACTGGAAGACTGTTCCTCTTACTCCCCTTCCCCTACTTTGTCCGGTCTCCCCACCCCCTTCCCTCTGGCAACCATCAGTTTATTCTCTGTATCTGTGAGTCTTTCTGTTTTGTTTGTACATTTGTTTTGTTTTTAGATTCCATATATAAGTGAAATCATACATATTTGTCTTTCTCTACCTTATTTCACCTAGCAGTACACCTTAGGTCCATCCATGTTGTCGCAAATGGCAAGATTTCATTCATTTTTGTGGCTCAGTAATATTCCATTTTACATATGTGCCACATCTTTATCCATTCATCCACAGACGAACACTTAGGCTGCTACCTTATCTTGGCTATTGTAAATAATGCTGTAATGAACAGAGGGGTGTGTATATCTTTTTAATTAGTGTTTTCATTTTCTTCGGGTAAAGAGTGAAATTGCTGAATTATATGGTAATTCTATTTTTAACTTTTTAAGGAAGCTCCATAATATTTCCACAGTAGCTGCACCAGTTTGCATTCCCGCCAACAGTGCACAAGGGTTCTCTTTTTTCCGTGTCTCCACTGACACTTATTTCTTGTCCTTTTGATAATAGCCATTCTGACAGGTAAAGTGATACCTCATTGTGGTTTTGATTTGCATTTCCCTGATGACCAGTGGTATTGTGCATGTTGTCCATTGACCTATATTATAAGACTAATAAATATTTGATAAATATCACATTGTGTTTTAGGGTTTCCTGGGGTCCCAGTAAACACCTATTTTTACAGCCCATTTTCAGAGCCAAATTGAGAAGTAGACAAAGGGGGTCAAACAAGTGGATACTAAACTGTTTGTTGACCAAACTGTCAGTTTTACTACTGATAATGCAATTGGACAGTGTGGTTAGGTATTCTAAAGCTTCCTGTGATTATAACCTCAAGAGAGAGCTTTCTCTTTAGAGGGAAAAAAAATACTAAATTAATTGATTTGATAAGATTCATTGTTTGTTTATTTTTTAAAGATAATATTTAGAAGAGAAAATCCAGTTATTAGTCCTGTAAAATTTTAGATTTTTCTTTTCATCTTGAAAAGAAACTTTTAAAAAGAAAATATAAAAAATATTTGAGGTCTGTTAGTATAGTAGAGAGTGGCACTCAGTTTTCCTTCCTTGATGAGACATGTATCTTAAATGTAGAATATTTTAGACAGGAAGTACATTTTGCTCGATTATATTTTTGGAAGTCACATGATTCGTTGATTTTTTTTTTAGGTGCTTCTGTCAATGTGAGAGAAAAGCTGTCATGCTTCTTGACTTTCAGATTCTTGTGTGTGTATCTTTACCACGAAATACGTATTATTACTATGTTGGTACTTTTATATCCAGTCTAGGACTTTACTTATTAACAGAAGTAAAAACACCAAGTCATAATCTAGTGTAACAAATACTTACATATACAAGGAGAAGTGTTACAAAGAAGCACATCTAGAGTATGACAGGAACACAGGAGTCAGAGGGCCGCATTTTGGATGATCTTGAAAGGTGACCAAATGTTGACCAGGGAAGGGAAAGGAAGAGACATTTCAGGCTGAAAGAGCAGTTTATACAAAATACAAAGTTACATGGTATACATTCCATATATCTTTACTGTTTTAAAAACTTTTAATTTTGAAATCCTAGGAAGTGATTTTTTTTCTGGTAAAATCTACATAACATGAAATTTGCCATTTTAACCAATTTTAAGTGCATAGTTCAGTGGCATTGTGTACATTCATATCTTTGTGCAACCACCACTATCCATCTCCAGAACTTTTTTATCATCCCTGACTGAAACTCTGTCCCATTAGACACCCCCTCTCCCACAGGGCCCTGGTAGTTATTGTTCTCTTTTTTCTCTCAATGATTTGACTGCTTCAGGTACCTCATATACCTGAAATCATAGAATATTTGTTCTTTTGTGTCTGGCTGCTTTCAAGCATACTGTCTTCAAGATTCTTCCTTGTTGTAGCATTTGTCAGAATTTCCTTCTGAATTTTAACCCTGAATAATATTCCGTTTGATATGTATATACCACAGTGAGGTATATACATATCAAAGGTTATCCATTCATCCATCAACGACATTTATTTAGGTTGTCTCCACCTTTTGGTGGAATAATGCTGCTGTGAGCTCTGAATAATGCTGCCATGAACATTGGTGTACTAAGTGTTTGAGTTCCTGCTTCCAGTTGTTTGGGTATGAACCTAGAAGGGGAAGTGCTGAAACATATGGTAATCTGTGTGCATTTCTGAGGAAACTCTGTACTGTTTACCAGAGCAGCTGTACCATTCATTTGACATTTCCCCCAGCAGTGCACCAAGGGCCCCAGTGTCTCCACACCCTCCCCAACATTCTCTTTTAACATGTTGAAAAAAATTTACCAGGCTATGTACTAGCTCCATAAGCACCATGGTAACTATATTCATATTCTCATTATATTAGAAATGACATTTGGCACCCAGCTTAAGTAAAGTTTTTACACGATAAAAAAAAAAAGTTTTCACATGAGACCATATCAGACAGCTTTGGCCTTTGTCTTACTATTTCTACAGTATGGGGTGTATTTGTGGAACAAGTTTAAACATAAATGCACTGGAATGAGTTCTTAGTGACAAACTTTTCTTCTTTCCTCCAGCTCCCTGCACAGGTAGCACTTTCTTTTGCCACAGCAACATGTGCATCAATAATTCTTTAGTCTGTAATGGTGTTCAGAACTGTGCGTACCCTTGGGATGAAAATCACTGTAAAGGTAAGTGCGCTGGCAAAGTCCAACCTTTCTGAGAGAAGAGTAGCCATTGCCCTTCATTAAGAAAGACTTAAAATATCCTTTTCTGTAACTGTGCTCAGCATAGCTGCTTTGGCAGAAATGGAAACACATAATATAAATGTTCTTTTAAATGGATCATAGACTTCTAGAATGTGGTGAATGCAAGGAAAAATACTTATTCTCAATGAAAGCATTCTTTTTTTTTTTACAAACTATGTTTTTTATCTTAAATTGTTCAAAAGTCTGCCGTAGTATTTCCTGCATTATTTTCTTATTCATATTGTAAAGATATTTTATTCTCAGAATAATTTAGAAAGTAACCTAGAGTAGTAGTATTTTAAAAATTATATAGAAATAATATTTAATAAACATTGATGGATTCAATCTTAAAAAGCAGTAAAAGCAGACTTAAAAGAACTGCTGGGACGCCTCGGTGGCTCAGGGCGTGATCCTGGAGTCCCAGGATCGAGTCCCACATTGGGCTCCCCATAGGGAGCCTGCCTCTCCCTCTGCCTGTGTCTCTACCTCTCTCTGTGTCCCTCATGAATAAATAAATAAAATCTTAAAAAAAAAAAACTGCTTTGTTTAATTTTATAAAATTTCCTCTACTATATTTCCAGTGTCTGTCTCAGGTAAATATGACTTGTGGTAATAGTTGAATATCTACAGACATTATCAAATCACTGTCTCAGTCCTACAGTTTACCTGCCTTCTATTCCCTGAGAGTTGAGTAAATATCTTACTATGAAAAATTAATGTGATCTGATAGAACTGTCTTAAGTACTTGACATGAAGTATTTTCAGGTAATCATTCAAATGGTAGGTTGCGATGAATACCTCGATGGGTTAGCCTGATTACATTAGTCCCCTCTTGCTGACGGCCATCAGTAGAAATACCGTGGATGTACTTAAAGGTGGCCAAACATACCACAGAGCAGAAAGCTCACTTGTTAGAACAAAAGTGTTTCTTTTAGCATTTTCTTTACATTCATGTTTTTATTTTGTTTTTATTTTTTATAAGATTTTGCCTATTTGAAAGAGTAAGCATGAGTGAGTGGAGGGTCAAAAGGAGGGGAACAAGCAGACTCCCCACTGAGCAGGGAGCCCTACGTGGGGCTCCATCCCAGGACCCTGAGGTCATGACCTGAGCTGAAGGTAGACGCTTAACTGACTGAGCCACCCAGGCACCCCTAGATTCGTGTTTTTAGTTTGGTTTGCAAATTGTAGGCCTTCATGTACCTTCTGAGTAAAGAACCAAGTCTTTTTTCTTTTATGTAATCTAACTATATTGTGATTGGTTAGTTAAACTGGAAATCATCATAGGATTGTTTTATTTGTTTAAAAACTGAATTTTTGGGCAGCCCGGGTGGCTCAGCGGTTTAGCATCGCCTTCAGCCCAGGGCCTGATCCTGAAGTCCCAGGATCGAGTCCCACGTCGGGCTCCCCGCATGCAGCCTGCCTCTCCCTCTGCCTGTATCTCTGCCTCTCTCTCTCTCTCTCTGTCTCTCATTAATAAATAAATAAAAATCTTTAAAAATAGATAAATAAATAAATAAATAATAAAAACCGAATTTTTGGGACACCTGGGTGGCTCATTGGTTGAGCATCTGCCTTTGGCTCAGGTCATGATTCCGGGGTCCTGGGATCAAGTCCTGTGTCGAGCTCCCTGCAGGGAGCCTGCTTCTCCCTCTGCCTATGTCTCTGTCTCTCTGTGTCTCTCATGAATAAATAAATAAAATCTTAAAAAAAAAAAAAAACAAAACAGGGATCCCTGGGTGGCGCAGCGGTTTGGCGCCTGCCTTTGGCCCAGGGCATGATCCTAGGGACCCGGGATCGAATCCCATGTTGGGCTCCCGGTGCATGGAGCCTGCTTCTCCCTCTGCCTGTGTCTCTGCCAGTCTCTCTCTCTCTCTCTCTCTCTCTCTCTCTCTCTCTGTGACTATCATAAATAAATAAATAAAAAATAAAAAATAAAAAAAAAACACATTTTTAATGGTATCATCTGTAGTGTATTTGACCCACATGTCCTGCTTTACCTAAAAATCCCTTACCAATTCATGACAGGACTCATTAATGAATTTTGAAAGCCTTGTTGTTTCTCTTTCTGCAGAAAAGAAAAAAGCAGGACTGTTTGAACAAGTCACTAAAACCCATGGAACAATTATTGGCATCACATCAGGGATTGTCTTGGTCCTTCTCATTATTTCTATTTTAGTACAAGTGAAACAGCCTCGAAAAAAGGTCATGGCTTGCAAAACTGCGTTTAATAAAACTGGATTTCAGGAAGTGTTTGATCCTCCTCATTATGAACTGTTCTCACTAAGGGACAAAGAGATTTCTGCAGACCTAGCCGACTTGTCAGAAGAACTGGACAGCTACCAGAAGATGCGGCGCTCTTCCACTGCCTCCCGGTGCATTCACGACCATCACTGTGGGTCGCAAGCATCCAGTGTCAAACAGAGCAGGACCAACCTGAGTTCCATGGAACTGCCTTTCCGAAATGACTTTGCACAACCACAGCCAATGAAAACGTTTAACAGCACCTTCAAAAAGAGTAGCTACACTTTCAAACAGGCACACGAGTGCCCCGAACAGGCCCTAGAAGACAGAGTAATGGAGGAGATTCCTTGTGAAATTTACGTCAGGGGGCGAGAGGATTCTGCACAAGCATCCATATCCATCGATTTTTAATCTTCTACTAGAGGGGACATGAATTACTAAGTGTGTACGTACGCAGCCTACAGAGCACCCATACTCTTCTGTCAGAACCAGGAAGACCTTCATTCCCACTAACCTACTGTAATGGTGACGCTTTTATTGTCTCAGGCAGCCTGTATGTTAAACCAACCAAGGGACCTACTCCAGTCCATGAACAAAATAATAGTCACTTATTGCTTGGTGTCACACACACAGAGTTCCAGTGAAAGAGCATTTGAAGAGGGGCGTGCTGGTGCTGAGCCAGGCACAGGCTGCCTGTTAGGCTTAGCAACGAATACTGCTCTGGATTCATACAGCTTGTCAACATTTTGATCCCACAAGTTTAAAAATAAGATCTGTCTCTGCATTCCTTTTGTTTTTCTTTTCTCTAAATTTAATTTGTTTTATAAGTCCGTGATTTTACCATTTTGGTTTCTTACATAAATATAAATGGTTAATGTACCACACATATTTCAATACAGGCGTTTGTTCTAGAATTTGTCAAAATATAACTCATTACTGTGGTACGTGCCAGTGAAGACCCAGAGTTCTGTTTCACCCATCTGTTTCTTCTTGACTAATTTCTATACTGCTGCCTTTTAATTACTGGATCCTTAGTCTTTATTTTTTGTGAACAGTGGATGATATGATTTATCACCTTTAAGTCATATTTTGTCTTATACTAGAAGATTTCATAATCCTAGGATGTATGCACCCTTGCCAGTTATGACTAAAAACTTGAAAAATATTAGAACTTCTAGAAATCCTTTGAAATTTCCCAAATTTGGTCAGATGCAGTGGTAACCCATTCATTCACTTTGGGGGAGGCCTGTTTCTTTACAGCATTTCTCATCACCAGATTTGTGTTTCCTGTTATTTTTATAAGAAGATGATTTTGCTCCCTTTGTATTGGTTTATGTTATGGCATATGGTAGCCAAGGTTGTATGAGAGTTAAAGAAGAATTCCTAAGAAACTGTAAAAGCCCTCAGATTGCTTCTTACTTGGGACAATACATTTTTCTAGTTCTTACCAAGAATAACAACTTCCACTTTTTTTTAAACTGCACTTTTGACCTTATGTTTTTTTTATGGTATATAAACAATAATTTATAAACATGATATGAAAACTCATTGTGTTTTTTTAGACTTTTGATATTATTTGATACTGTACAAACTTTATTAAATCAAAATTAAAGACCTACATGACAGATTTCTTTCAGTGTTCACCTTAGTGGCTTTGTATACAAATATGCTGTGATGGAACTACGCATTATAACTTATTGTAAAGACCTTGGTAATGTGTACTCAAGCTTTTGTTTCCTTTTGTTGTTGCATTTAGTTTATGATGAATTTTTCACTATGTGTTATTTATGTTCTAAATCACTACACAAGTCTTATATTAAAATATACATTGTTACATGATTCTTCAATCATGTTATTGCACTGAGCTTTTGGAACTTAAGATATATATGGAAAGGAATCTGTTTAACAAATTAAAACTAATACAGACATGCCATTTAAAAAGAGATAAATTCTCATTCTGATTTTTTGTAGTAAATTCTCATGAAATGAGAAATTGAAGTTTCACTGAATTTCACTTTTTTTTTTTTTTTTGAGATCTCACATCTATGGGTTTTCTCAGGTTAGTGAAAACTAAGACCTTTAAATATGATACATATAAAATTACCCCTTCAAAATGTTTCTTATATCACATTTTTTATTTTTTTAAAGTATATAATATCCAGGAGATATGTAAACCTGTAGACAGTATATTCATGATTTAATTTTTTTTAAAGTCAGCATAATTTCCTATTTTAAAAATACAATTTGGAAGATAGACTTAATGAATGTAGTATTTATTGAACTAAAGAATCAGAGCCAGATTAGATAGACATTCTTTCAGTAGCTATGTTGAATAGGCTTTCCAGTAGTTAGTAGCCAGCCAACACTTGAACAGCATAGTAAATATTTAATATAATAACTGTGATCTCATTCTTCATGATGGTGAAGGAAAATAGCATATTTTCTATGTAAAATTATATCCGTTATAAAAACAGCTGTTAAATCCATCTTTAACACCTACATTATAATAGAAACTAATACAGTATGCTTAACTACATTAACTATAATCACTTGTAACTATATTTTTGTTTTTGAAATTTGTATCCTATATTCTTTTAAAAGGGCATGAAGAGGCCTACAAAATAGAGCCTTTAGAGAAGACGTTTAACATTAAAACAGCACAGAACTACGTAGCTTCAGGCAACTCCACATAGCAAGTGAAGCTTGGACAACAAATTTGGTTCTAAATGTTCAGGCTGCTAAAACGAATGAAATAGTTTTTGTTTTTCACAGTCGAGAACCCAAACTTATCTGCAGAGGCTAGTTTTCTCTTCAAGTAAAGAAAGAGGATCTTTATATAGAACAACATTTCCTCAGAATTTAAAAAAGATGCAAAATGCAGAGAAAAGTCAGAATGGTAAATCTTTATCTAGTGAAGGCATGTCTCAGTATGGTCTAGGATCATCGGTTTTTGATCAGTCTCTGCAGGGGTAGAACTAAAGAGTCAGATGATCAGTATTAGTTAAGCCAGCCTTCAACTGCCATATACTGTATGCCTTCACTGAAGTATAGATGGGTATTAGGCCTCATTTGTTTTTTAGTCACTTATTTGGCAGTACACTATGGGAAGAGGATGGAACTATTTTTCAGGCATTATTACCGTCAAAATGCTAATTGCTGTAGGTAGAGTCTTTCATCTTTGAGCTTAGTGGGAAACTTTACAAATTGTTTACTAAAGTAAAAGCCATAATAAATTTTAGTAATGGAAGATGAACTTTAGCCATCTTGTGGAAGCTATTACACCCTTCACAGGGAATGTTGAAGCTAGTTGTTAAACATAGAGTAGAAAATGCAAATGTGGAGGTAAGAGTATCTGCAAGTCAGGAGCAGCGCCTAGGATCTGCAATACTGTCGTGACCTCTCACCTGCGAGCCCAAGTTCAGCCACAAGATATCAACACTCAAGTGCCCACGGATTGCAGGAAACCTATGAATCCCAACATCTAAAGTATGTACAAATAAAGTGTGATGTACCTTTTATGGGGGGAAATGTTCAACCTAAAGTTTTGACAAAAAGCAAAAGATTTTCCACATTTCACATCACAAAAGATTTAAAAGTCTCCTTTGACTTGTTAACAGCTTTTATGTCTGTCTTTGTCATGTTTCATGTAATTATTAGGCATTAAAAGAACCTCCTAAATGTCTGCTTCTGAACATTTTTATAGTTCTGCTATTATCTGATGAGCAGTGCGCTTTCTGGTTTCAGGGATGTGTCACCTTGTCTCTTGATGAGACAAGACAGAAGGAAGGCCTCGTGATTCCAGGAGTAATTTCAAAGGGGGTTATGCCCTCTCACAAAAATGGTGTCGGCTGTGTTGTTCATGATTAGAAGGGACCTTGAGTTGGGGGCTTTTTAAGATCCCAGAAAGATGATCTGTTCTAACTTCATTAATGAGAATTCTGAGGCCCAGAGAAAAGGAGTGAGTACTCGCATCTCAGAACCAGTCCCATGCTCTTGGCTGGTCTTTGCTGTTTTTTCCCTGCCTTCGCTGGCTAGAAGTTTTAAAGGTCAAGCAGTTCTAAACAGAAGCCCAGATATTCCATGTAAGCTTGTCAGTCATTCTGATTTAAAATGTAATTTATTCTATAATAATTTTTTTCAAAGCACTTTACCTTTTTTTTAATCTATGTAACGCTATTCTACAATTTTATTGCCATGACTTCTTGGCATCTGCAAACTGCAAGACAATTACTGTGAATTCTTAATAAACAATGTTAACAATTTATAGGCTTGGCATTAGATAAAAAGAACTTTGGTGTTTTGGTTTTGTGATCTTTTTAAAATCTAACGGAAACAATGTATACTCTAGAAATTAAAGATTTGTGTGCTATATCTCTTGAGTTTGGAGAATGATTTGAGTTTTGAGCCATGATGACAAGTTGACCTCAGATATCTTTTTTAGGTCCCTACAAAATCAAATTTCCATGTTTTATATGCCTCAACAAATTAAAAATTCTGAATTTGCTTCTTTTAGTAATTTTTTCATATATTTCTGTGATTAGTTTAATGACTACAAAAGCCCAAGAAGCTCATGACTGGGGTGCATGTTTAGTGGGTACTGTCTTGAGTACATTTTTTTTTAAGATTTTATTTCAGAGAGGGGAAGGTCTGAGTGAAAGGGAGAGGGAAAATCTCAAGCAGACTCCATGCAGAGTGTGGTGCCCAACGCAGGGCTTGATCTCACACCCTGAGATCATGGCCTGAGCCAAAACCAAGAGTCAGATGCTTAACCAATTGAGCCACCAAGGCACCCCTTGAGTAAATGTTTTTTTTAAACCAATGAATTTTTAGAGATGAATGTCCAGACCACACAAGAAGTCTTATATGTTTAATCCTGATTGACACTTCACAGTAAGGAATATGATCCTTGAACTGGAAATAAAACTTGTGTGTTAATTTCCTTGCCTGTCTCAATGGCCACGTCTCCAGAAGGGGCAAAGAATACTTAAGTCTTTGCAGGACAAAGTTGGCATTTCCTACCCAATAGCTTCCAAAGTAAAATAATCTTAGGATAAAAAGAAAAAAAGCTCAGGCTATTACACCATGAGTTTTCAAATTAATCTACAAGTAAAGTTAACCAAAAAAAAATGTTTAAAGGTGAATTTAGTGTTAGATTGCCTGCAGATCCAGTGTACGACATCCAGTCACTAAAGTGAGGACTTTCAGAGTGGGTTGTCAGAGCACGCTGTCCTTTTGAGGCACAGAATGCATCAGTCACAGCCACAGCTTAGCAAGGATGCAGGAGTAGATTTCACAAAAGGCGCACAATGAAGAGAAAGCAAAGAAAGGCAAAAACAGCTTTACAATCATACAGACCTAGATCAAGGAGTGAAGAAAGACGAAAGAAAGGTAGTTACCACTGGTCTGTCTCTGCCAATAGTCACAGAGAAATTTTATTTTCTGTGTTATTTAGGATCAAGAAACAGCTTTTATCTGAAAGTGCTCTTACCTGCCAAGTTTTGTCATACTCTGTAACATCTGGTGCCAGCGGGCCACTGAGCCGGTACATACTTTATTGAAACATTATGAGTAACTGCTGATTGCTAAAGGAATTTTCATCAGAAGTCTAGGTATTGAACCATGCTTTTCAAATGCTCTATTCTTCCACTGATGACTTTGTCCTATTGTATTAAGCAGTGTTTCAGAGAAGTATTCACAACTTTTGAACCAAAAAATAGCTGCATGAATTGTAGGGAACTTCTTGCTAGACCCTGAGAAGACAGTTCAGCTCTGAAAATGTGCACAAGTAACCGTAGTGAACTTGCTGCAACTGCCTCTGTTTCTTACATTCATGGTCTAAAGGCAATCATACTTCCTTGGTCATTTATTTGTAATAAAAAACCGAATAAAGCTTGTGATAGGAGGCTTCTAGGACGACTCCCAGTGATCCCTGCCTCCTGCTGTTCACAATCTTGTATCATTCCCTGCTCTTGAATGTGAGTTGGACCTGGGGACCTGCTTCCAGTGAACATGCCAGTAATGCCATGTCACTTCTGAGATTCGGTGACAGGCTGGCTTCTATCTTGCTCACCCATTAGTTTTGTGATTTCCTGTTCAGATGGAAGCCAAGTGCCATGTGCTGAGATGCTCTATGGAGAGGCCCACGTGACAGGAAATGGGGGTTTTGAGCCAACAGTTAGCACAGAGGCCATCAAGACAACCTCCTGCAAAGAACTGAGTCCTGCCAGCAACATGCCTAGAAGAGGATCCCCCCCATGCTAGAGCCTTGAGATGACCACACACAACACCTGGATCGCATCTTGGGAAAGACCTTGAGTACCACTGAGATCACTGATGGCAGAAATCCAAGATATGTGCTATTTCAAGTTGCTGGATTTGGGGATAATAGGTTACACAACCATTGATAACTAACTAATGCAAAGCTAGAAAAGGACAATGGCATATCCCAACTTAACCCCTTGGGGGGGGAAGTTGTTGATGAAATTTAACATGTTTTGGTTTGAAAAACAAAAACCTCAAAGCAATGGTCATATCGTCTTAAATCTAGCAGAAGGGAATAAGGAGAGAGCGTCTTCCTCCAACATGAATACCTATCAGCCAACTAGTTTCCCTAGCCACAGATAAAAACACCTATCTTTGACCCATCTCTCCCAAATATGGCAAAATACTGAAATTTGATTCTATATTTGAAATGAAAATCAAATTAAATGCTAACTCTTCAATAGTGCCCCTGACTCATCAAGTCCCCTTTGAGTAAAATGAAATTATCTAAAAATGTATAAAGGATAAAATTCTATTCAGATTCTATATGGTATTCCCATAATTTAGTCAACATCTTTCACATTTCCAATCACATTAACAGTTTCTAGACAGCAGGGCTGATTACAACTCTATCATTACATGAAAAGGTGATTCTTGGGACAACTGATTTAGAAAGGAATGGAACCCCCGCCCCTCCAAAAAAAGGTAGAGGGAACGGTCACTGAGAAAAGAAGTACAAGCCTTTCACGTCCCGAACCTCCCTACTCCCAAAATATGAAATGTGGCAAAAACATTTCTATATAGAGATTTTCCTGTGTAAAAAGATTATCTAGAAGAATTATCTTTTTTTTTCCTTTGTTTTAGTCAAAATGATTGAAAAACCAATCCTAGAAAGTTTTTCTTTCTGAAATTGTTTTCAATAGCTGGCTGTCAGCCACCACTACCTGCTATAAAGATAAAACTGTATCTTTCATTGTATCTGTGTATAAATTTTTTGTTTGAATTTGAAGCCAGCTATTACTGACATTGTTTTGCCCTGTGGGTATAATTGTGTCCTAAATCCTTTTCTAATATGAATCCATGAAACCTTAGCCTCTAGAAATAGGATAGTACCTGTTCCTTGTACTCTGATCTCTGCAAAAGAGGCATCAGATGAATCTTGGTGATCCCCATCCTGCCATTTTTAATTGCTAGATGGTAGCTAGGGACTACGTTGCTTGAAGCTTTCCATTTTCTGTGGGATTTGAAGTACCTACCTTTCTACTAGGGGCCTCACAGCTCTTGTTTTGTTACCCACAAATGCACACAGATTTTTTTAAGGAAATACTAACACACCAAACCGGGTTGTCTAAAGAAACTCCCAAGTCTGTCAGTGAAAAGAAAGGAACTTCCCTAAACAGTATGGTATGGGTAGTGGTAGACTAAGTATACAGAGAAACTGCCTCTATCAAAAACCATGTCTTAAAGGATGTGCAAGAGAATGCTTCCATTTTAAGCTGGCATTCTCACCTCTTCACCCTGGAAAAATAGCTTGCTTCTCTTCCCCTCATCAGGTAGGCAAAGAAAGTGATTGCACACTGTTTTTAATTGTAGGTTTACATAAACCCACAATTCAAGAGCATTGATTTGTTGGACTGTAATCTACACTTTAACACACTGAGCTGCATTTAGGCAGCATGCCAGATGTGTAAAGTCAGAATTTAATGACGACATTTCAGTAGCAGCCCCAGAATTTAGTACAGTACCACTGTCGAATACTAATGTGCCACTAACAAGAAAACAAAAGAACAAACAGCTTCTTTCTCAGTTACCTTTTTTGTCCCTTTCTTGGTGATGGAGAAAATGAAAGCAATTAACTATTTCATAGAAATCCCATCTTAAGGCAGCCTGGGTGGATCAAAGGTTTAGCGCTGCCTTCGGCCCAAGGTGTCATCCCAGAGACCTGGGATCGAGTCCCACGTTGGGCTCCCTGCAAGGAACCTGCTTTTCCCTCTGCCTCTGTCTCTACCTCTGTGTGTGTGTGTGTGTGTGTGTGTGTCATGAATAAATAAATAAAATCTTTAAAAAAAAAATCTCATAAATTCCAGTCAAAAGCAACCCATAGTAGTTATAGTAGTTATTGCTGTGGTCGTGGCACTTTATCAATCAACCAAAGGTAAATTCATTTTTAACACTGCCAAAAAAAAAAAAATTTTAACACTGCCTAGTTACAAAGTTCATGTTTTTCCTGAAGACTTTATCAAACATTTTTACTCTCTGAAAATAATTATGTACATGAAATGTATTGTGAATGGAGTCACCATCTTATATCTGCTTTGTATGATTTTCAAAATGGAGCTTCATTTCCTTTTAAATAGAAGGGAGAGGGAGAAAATTTCTTATCCTAAAAGAATGGTATTTCTTTTTTTTTTTTTTAAGATTGTATTATTTATTCATGAGAGACACACAGAGAGAGGCAGAGACATAGGTAGAGGGAAGAGCAGGCTCCCTGTAAGAAGCCTGATGTGGGACTCAATCTCAGGACCCTGGGATCATGACCTGAGCTGAAGGCAGACACTCAACCACTGAGCCACCCAGGTGCCCAACAATGGTAGTTCTTAAACCTGGCAGCATTAACATTTGGGGCCAAATAATTATTGGTTATGAGGGGGAATGTTCTGTGCACTATTGGATGTTGACTAGCATTCCTGGCCTCTGCCCACTGGCTCCCAGGAGCATACCCCCATTTGTGAAAACCAAAAATGCCTCCAGATATAGCCACGTGTGGAGGGCTCAAATCAACTTTGGCTGAGAACCACCGCTGTAGAGAGTTTAAAGGATTTAACAAATAATAACCAGAAGCTGTTGAATTCTATTTCAAAGAAATACTTCAGACTTCTGGAAAGGTATAAAGAAGAGTGAGCACCCACATACCCGATCTCCCAATTTCATCCCCATCCTTCCAGCCTCACCCCTCAGAGGTCCCAAATTTGGTTTTCATCATTCCCATGTCTATATTGGTTAGAAGTTATATATCTTCTTCTTACTTTTGTGGCTGATCTTCATGTTTTCTCATGTATGCATCAAGTCTAAAATTAATATGCTTTCTTTCTGAACAGAACAAGAATCATATAAGGCCTTATTTCCAGTCACCCCCTTCCATCTTACATATTACTTTAGTTCTAATTTGTTG